ATACAATTTTCAAAATATTTTGACACTTTTTGAGCTGTTTACGGGCATTTTCAGTTTTCAATTTTTTTAGTTTTTTTTTCTATAAATATCAATTAAGTTTTAACTGTTTTGCCAAAAAGTGTAAAAATGTAATACAAGGCTCCTGATATATTGTTACAATATCAGTTGAAAAATATTAAAAATACATAGGCAAAACTTTTTTTTATAAGCATTTAAAGATCGAATTTTGACAAAATTTATCAAATTTAATATTAAATAATTATTTTGTAGTTAAACATTTATAAAATGTTCAACTTTTATATCTAAGGATTGAAATTTCTATTTATATAAATACCTACTCTAAGAGAACAGCAATATATAATTGTAGGTAAGATTATTTTCGTATTGACGTATTATTTATGTTATCCTATTAATATTATAAATGCGAAGATCTGTGACTTTGTTACTCTTTCATGTAAAAACTTCTGAATGGATTTTAATGAAACTTTACAGTCATATAGCTTATACATCAGAATAACACATAGGCTACAAATCAACCCCCTGAGTCATACCAGGGTATGTGCTCAAACGGGGATTTAGATATTTACGGTGGAAATTTTTGTTTATAAATGGTCTCCATGGGTTTTAAAGCTATTACAATAATAATTATAGGTTGCCGTGAAAAAAAAAACAATTAACCAATCACGGATTTTTTTTCTATTTAGTAAATTATTAATAAATTATTATAATTAATTATTATTCGGAAGTGTAGAAAAAGCACTACCAAGAATTATGCCACGAAAGCGTAAGTCTAATTATTGGTTGCCGTGAAATCAGTGTATTCATTTAATGTATTTAATTTTTGTGCACGCCGTGTTATGTATCACAATTACCTAAATATTGAGTGTATTATACTCACATATAAGTTACGTACATCAGTACATGGTACATAAAACAATCACGATGCCACGTATTCGTGGACAAGGAAGAAATATTGGTCGACAGACTCGGCATTCACAATTATTAGTCCAACCGTTTAGGAGGAGTTCAGTAACATACTTGGTATAACTTTGATAATTTAGAGTTAAATTATAAAGTTACGTACAAACATCAGGGGTCCTACCTGATAATATTATAGGTACTGCTGCGAATCAGAATTTTTATTCCGGGCAAAGGAAAAGTTCAGATAAATTTTGAACACCATACACTGAATATTAAATACATATAAATTGAACAAAATTTGAGTCATATAGTGTTGATCTATTTAACTGGTAACGAAGTGCACGGGATCAGCTAGTATTCTATACATTTTAAATAACCAAAAACTATTATTATAATCTAAAAATCGTAATAAGTTATTTGTACAACCAAATTGTCCGGCCCCATAATTCGATTATTCGACCTGCATATCGGGAAATTTCCCGATCTCCCAGTCCGCCCCTGGGTATAGACTATGGGCCCCTTGTAGGCCGTAGACGATTATGATAATCGTGATGCGAAACTATTACTAGCGCCCTAGCTGAGGCAATCATGTTTCGTGCCTCTGCTCATCTAATCAATAATAAGAAGTTTATTAACATTTCTTTAAATACATTTAAACGTCGAACAAAGCTACTTGAATAACTTCATCATGACAACATGAACCCCTATTTATATACCTAATTAATTTATATTATCAATCATAATAACAATAAATATTTTTCAAAATTAATCAGAATATCAGAAAATAGATCCATAATTTTCTTCTTAACTATACGGATAGTTTATGATTTTTCAATCACCTTCATAATTTAAATATAATAATATTTCTAAATAAAAAACACTAATTAAGTATAGATCAAAATAGATGAATAAACAATTTGTGATGTAAAAAATTTCTTAAAATAATCAAAGTCAACGAAACATTTTATACTCGTTTTGGGTATAAAAATATTTATAAATAGGTATTTATTAATTCATAACTTACACAATCACACAATCTTCTTTTCAAGGTAGTCGCTACGTAGAAGCTATACAAATTTTACTAACTAAACTTGTCCAATTTATGTTCCTGGTATTTTCATATTCAATACATAACAATAGAATATAACATTGGTCACATACAATCTTTTTAATACAGAATATTATTTTCCTGCTTGTATCAGAATATGAAATACAAATAAATAATTTAAGGCAATTACAATATTACAGAAGGTTTGAGGAGGACGCCTCTTATTGAAATATTATCGTACAGTATTCGTACTTATTTTATTTGTTGGAAAAATAATTTTTTTAATTGAATAATTTCCACACCAAATTCTACTTTAAGATCCTCGGTATAAAATATATTCAATGTCAAGCTACAGCTTTAATACTTTTTTTATGAGGGTCTATAATGATTTTTAAATTTATATGTAAGAAATAAATTTAAATATAGGTTACATAAATCTGTATATGCTGCAACTTTTGTTTTATTAAGTTGAGCTCTAAACGAATCCATTATACGAATAAATGCATTTGTTTCGTTCTTAATTTTTGCCTTATTAGAAAATATAATTTCACCACTAAATTATTGACCAAAAAACAATATTTTTTTATATTTTATCAGCCCCGTTTGTCCTGAAATATTCAAGATGAACAAAAAATAAATCTTTTAAAGAATAATAACAAAAAAATATACATTTTTAATTTGGTGCTCCTAAAAATTTTGGCGCTCTAGTATACTTGACCCTTTTGCTTAACTTACGGTCCTGAGAAAAGCGGTGTATCCGAAGTGGTTCCCAATTTGTTATGAAGGGTACCTATATCAAATTGGTTCTGAAAAATTTTAAAAACATTTTCAATTTTCCTTCGCATTTTATGTAGATTTAGGACTGTCTACATATTATACAGGTACAGGTACTATGTTTACGTTTTAAAATAAGTAGGGCGTAATGTTTTTAATTTTTTTTTTTAATTAAAAATATAAAATAAATAAGAATAGTAATATTAATAAATATATAATGTTTTTTTCGATATTTTATTTTATTGAGGTAAAAATATATAACGAATATATTCCAAAAATATAGGTGAAAATATATAACAAATATATTTTAAAAATATATAAGAAAACATAAATTCCAATCAATTTTTTTAGTTTTATGTATATTTTTACGCTTTTGTTGTTTATCTGTATTTCGTATTTAAATATAGGTTTCAATTTGAAAGACCTAGTTGGGAACCTATTTGTATGTGTGCTGCCTTGAATTTTGGGAGCTAATTCGGATATAAATGTTCACACATAGGAACCAATTTGGATGCAGCCTAGAAAATCATTAACTCAGATCATGCCAAAATTAGCCAAATTGCTAAAAACGTATATACTCTCATAAGTTATTGTAATACGATAATTTTACCATTTAGAGTCCATTTAGAACTGAGTCATAAAAATGCAATATAACCGGATTCTTACAAGTTATGATACTATACTTTTGCGGATTTGAACTTATCCAAATTAAAAATCTTACACCATGTTCATGTATACTCAAGTGGTTCTAGAAATACCCGAATACAAAAACAACTATTGTAACGTCTCCAGTTCAGAAATCCAAAGAATCGAAGAAACTGCAAACCGGTCAAAAACAAGGAGTATGTATTTTGTGACGCCATATATAAGGTAGGTAGTCCGAAATACAGCATATTTAGTTTATCATAGCCATTGAGTCTCAAACATCTTCAACCTTATTGTAAACAAGGCTTGAAACCGAAAATTTTCGTTTTTGGTTTTGAATGTCGGTTTTTAATCTATCCAATTTCAATTTTGGTTTTGATTACCGGTACTGATTTTTTTGCGACTTTGTTTTCAGTTTCGATATCGATTTCGGCTTATAACGGTTATAACCGGTATCCAATATCGGGTTCAAGCCCTGATTGTAAGTACTTCATTTTTCATTATCTTTGAACTTGTGTTTTTTTGTTTTTATTAATAATTAATATAATATTTTAATTAATTGTCTGCAGTTAATTTACAACTATTTAATAGGCTACTAACTATAAACTATATCTAGGTGCTATAACATATTTTGTTAAAATCCTATCATTATCATAATATGGCATTGGCAATGATTCATTGAAAAATCCAATCGATTTAGCATGCCACTACATTGTATTACTTTTTTAATAAAATATCGTATAATTTCGTATAAAATATATTTTTAAATTAATTTACTATTTATTTTATGTAAAATCTAGATTTCGTTATCAAACCTAGAATAAAGTAGAAGGCGTTACAGATTAAGTTTAATTTAAAAAGCTTCAGAAAACTGTCAACATTTATCTCACAAATCGTAATACACCTGCAACTATGACTTTTGCGTTCGAATATAATAATTTAAAAAATTTTTCAGTAAAATCGGTAGTACTTTTTTCAAAAGTAGTTTCAAAAAAAGTACAAACAATTACCGTGTACCCTATGTAAAATTAAAACATATTCAATGAAATTTATAAAGCAAACTATTAATTCCAGATTATCAAACAAGAAAACTTCGACGAGTGTATATTATATGAATTATTTCTAATACGCATTATTATCTGCTCTAAATTATTAAAATTAATTTTAATCCAATTGTTATTCATCAGCATGATATTTCAAAACTTAATTGTTAACTTTAAAAATATAGCCTGAGTGACTAATTTTTAACATATTGTCATTAGTTCTATATATTATTGAACCTTTTTGACCTTTGTTGAAACGAACGCTTGATATACAAGTTATTATAGACATAAATATTGTAATCTCTATCGTTGCCCTATAAAGAATATTAACAATTTATACGCATATTCAATAATAGACAATTAAAATAGCTGATAATGTTAAACTGATAACAGTCTATGTATTTCGATTGCTATAAGAATTTGTTTTCAGTTCCCGACTATTGCTCCAGCATTCACATTCCTATTTAATATTTACATAAATACTGAAAAGTGCGTCTCTGACAGTCATAAGTAATTGTATTGTGTCAAATAGAAAGGTTCACTAATTGTGATTATTTTTTTTTTCGAATATGGCGAGTATTGATGCTTGTTTATCAGTTACACAAAAAATACTCAAACAAAAAAAGGTAAGCAAATATATTTTTATTTTTAATATATTAATCAATAATATTAATTTTTATAAATAAAGTAGTTGATTTTATAAAGTATTTTATTGGTAAGAACATGATTTATATAGGTAGTATACCTAATCTGTTTTAATGCATATAGTTCAATATACACTAGTTTATATTTTTAGGTATTTAATGTCAGAAAGAAAAGAAAAAAATTGTTTTATATTTATGTATTTTATTTTAGTAGTTAACTAATTTTTAACGGACTACCTATATAGTCTAAATATGATTGAAATTCAAGTACCTACTAAATGTATGCGTTTTACTCTATAACTTTTACATTTTGATATTTAAACATAAGATAGAAATCAGTTAATGTGCTAAGAAAAACTTTAACTGCTTCTTTCAATGGATGTGCTTTTTAAAACGTTCAACGGACGTTTACCAGTAAAAAATAAATAAATAAACTCTCGTAGTCGAGTTTTGATTGCAATGATTTATCGTTATTATTTTCCACATTTTAAATGAAATAACCCTCTACTCATTTATGTGGTCTCAACGTTTAAAGTAATTACATTAAAATAACGTTGAATAGTGAGTTCATAAATCCCATATCCCTGAATCATTATTAGAATTATTAAGCTCAGTAGATATTTCATATAGATTTTTATATGTATCAACTATTTTTTACAGACTTGCAGAAAATTGTATAGTATTCAACATCTATTGTCTAAAAGAAACCAGTCATCGTTATCACAAAATGACCCCGAAAAGGTAAATATTTAAATGTATATCACCAAACACAACGACCTCTGATAAGTAACCATAATACCACCTTATAACCGGTAACATAGGTAAATAATTAACGAGCTTAACTAGCATGAAGCAGAAAAAATTTGGATAAAAAAAATAAAAATAAAAATTTGTTTTCTTCACACACGGGATGCAGATAGATAGTCTCTATGAGAGTATCTCAGATACTCTCTCTCTGCAATGTAATAATAAAACAAAATTAATAATAATTAATCTTTGAATAAAATTCTAGACATACATTTTCTTAGGTGGAATAAAATATTTTGTAATAAATCAAAATCAGTCAATATTTTAAAAATCCTACAAATACATTAGATAACATAATGTATATTCTTATTTTATATTTTTTTAATAAATATTACTATATTTTAAATATAGTAATATTTATATTCCTCTTTTTATTTTTTTAAAAACAATACATTTTCTAATAATAATCTATATTCATAAATTATAAATATTTAAAATTTTGATGAGAGGGTCGACACATTTCGAATATTTCCGGATATTTGACTAATTCATAATAATAAAAAAAAACAGCCCATATCAGTAAAAAACAATGCCCAATAAACATACTCCGAGTAATAAAATATATTTTTAATTTCTTTTAGTTAATGGTCGATTAACAAAATATAAGCTATATAAAAATACTCTAACTTTTGTTAATTTTTGTTGTTATCATAGTGTAAATAGTTGTAGTCGTAAAGTACATTAATTGTTTTCGCATTTTTTTTTTTTATTGAATTATGAATGTACTATATACAATGCTCAGGACCATTTAGTCTTCAACTATTAACCATATTCAATTCGTTAAACCTTATAGGGTAGGTCGAAGGTATATGGTATAGTCACCTTGACCAATTTTTTACTTGACCCTTCGGCCTTCACATATTTCAATATTAAGCTAATAAAAATATAATCCTAACTATAGAGTATAGGTTATATATTACATACGTTACTTAAATTAAAATTGCAATATTATGGAGTTACTATTTTTCTATAAATAGCTACTCTAAAAACAATAATTGAATATTAAATGAGAATTAAATGAAAATTATTACATCATAATCTGAAGTCAAAGATTATACTTTTTTTGTAAGAAGCCAATTTTAATATTTGATATAACTATTTAAATTATTACTATATTTTACAATTGTTAATGATCAACAAATATTTGATATTTTAGACATTTGAAACAAATAATAGTATACACACAGAGTAAACTCTTTCACTTAAAGGTTTCGAAGTTATGTTAGTAATGGGTACAGGTACATTCGTTTTTTACAGTTAACAATTTAAAAACTGATATATCTGATTGTATATGTCTTAAGAACTTGAGATATAAAATTGAGAAACGCAGTACTTAAACTAAAAATTAACATGTATCATTAAAAGATTAATAAATAATCCCCTTTAACGAGTGTCCGTGGCAAATTAATAATATACCTAGGTACTAGATTATTATATATTTCAATTAAATTAAATATTATTTTTATAGTAATATGTTAATTCAAATATTATCAGCTGTTGTAAGTGGTAACCGGATAAAAAAGCCACCGATAAAAAAGCCACGGACAAAAAAGCCACGGATAAATAAGCCATTGATAAAAAAGCTATGGGATAAAAAAGCCACCGATAAAAAAGACATGGATAAAAAAGACGAATTTTAAATCAAGTATCATATGAATTTTCAACTACAAAATTACTTGTACATTTTATAATAAATAATAATATAATAATGTTAAAATTGAATACAATAATTAGTATAATTTATAAAAGTTAAAATTTACAATTTAAAAATATAATATAAAATAATCGTATTGTGTAAGCAATAGCTGTTAAATATTCGTCGACACTTTTATTTCACGACGTTTGTAATATACACAGACTGAGCATAACGGAAACTAAATAGTGTCTAAAGGATAAAATTTTACCAATTTCCCAACCATATAGCATGGCTTAAATATTTAAGCCATGCCATATAGGTTTCGGTCAACCTATAATAATATTAGATTATAGAGACAATCACATAGTATATTATATTGTTCACATATAATACAATACTTTAAACACTAAGATACCAACACCAGTTTTAAGATAAAGTCAAATGGCAATGACTTGTATTGCTATATACCTTAATCAGTTTAATCTTTTATATTTCAAATGTATATTTATAGTATTTATACCATATATCCGGAAACGGTATTTACGGTATTTAATGTATGATTTATTGATTTATTGTTTTCGTAAAACGTCTGTTCCAAGAAATGTCATTCCAAAAAAATACGGTAGCCCATTTATACCTATAGTTTAAAATATTTGACTTATTTCTTATGGTTATAACTTATAGATACCTATATCTAAAAAGGTTTAAAAGAGTTAAATAAATGCATGTCTTTTTTATCCATGGCTTTTTTATCGATGGCTTTTTTATCCCATGGATTTTTTATCCCATAGCTTTTTTATCAATGGCTTATTTATCCGTGGCTTTTTTGTCCGTGGCTTTTTTGTCGGTGGCTTTTTTATCCTAGATCCGTTGTAAGTAGTGCATAAAAAAATGCGAAGTCCCATTTTTTGGAATACAATGTTTAACATGTTTTAAAACAATATTGTGGCAAGATCGTAAATAATCTGCAATGATATTCAGTAAATAACTCAATGATCATTATGCATGCTTATTTCAACAGATATATTATAATATTAGAAGTATTTTTATTACATCGATAACTACATAATTTATACTTCAATGAACTCTACTATCAATAAATTGAATTAATTATTTTATATAGGTACGTCACACTATACGCCTATTAGTATACATGTATAATACATCTATAAAAATATTGAAATATATTATAATAATAGTAATATGTAATTGATTACTAAATTAAATGTACAAATCTAAATTCCACAACTTAATTATATTTTATTGAATCATCATTTAAATTGTCTACTATTATAAGTACATAATATTGTTCTTTCATTACAAATATTTTTTAAGACACGAGTGTATTTTAATTTTATTTATAGTACGTGAAACCAGATATCGATATTACACTATGCAAATCCACAAAACTTAACGATAACGTCACCAATATTTTAAAAAGTTGCACCCAAATTAAGTTTGGTACTATTTTCACTGACCACATGCTCAAAATACACTATGACAAGCATGCAGGTGGCTGGCAGAAACCATATATCACACCCATGGAACATCTCAGCTTACATCCTGCAGCCAAAGTTCTTCATTATGCCACTGAGGTAAAATATATATTTAAATGTAAATATTTAATCTAAACTTCTATATTAATGATCATTGAAACATACACATTACTTGTTTAATATTAGTAGTACTAGGTTTATAGAAATCTATTATATTAAAGGTCAAAAAAGTAATCTGCATGCTAATCAATTTGCTATAATTAGTACTCACCATCTACCGACTACCAGTAACAAAATGGTGGAATACTTGTTTTATATTAGTTATTATTTTAATTTTTAATCACTATAATTGAAATAAAGGGTATTGTGTAAATCAAATTACCTACCTAATCACTTTCATCGTACTCAGTAGGTAGTTGCGTTTCTACCTGTCATAGCATAATACTATGGTTATTTGGGGTATGCAGGGATCAAAGAGTGGGATCTCGTAGACACCCTCACTGGTGATTGACCATTGTCTTTCACCATTTTAATTATTATTATGATCATATTTCAGCAATGGATATTTTGGAAAATCGTAGAAATCTTGTATCGACAAATAGATTTTAGTTATCTTACTAAGATATAGTTTAAACAATTTCTATTTTCAATCAATTGTGATATATAACGAGATATATCCCCAAATAGTAAAGAGGTCATATTAAAGCATAATAATATTATGTGTATATAGTATATTAGTATTACATTACTATTTAGTATTTACTATTTATTATAATATTGAAATATATAAATAATTGACTGAGTTTTGATGTAAGAACTGTACAATTATACTTATTAGTATATTACATTTAAATACAAAATTATTACAAAAACAGCCATACAATAGATACAGTACCTAACATTTAGCTCTGGAAGTTGATGAGCTGCTCGTCCCTAAATTATACATAGCTATGAAAAGAATAAATAGGATGTCATACCTTAACAGATATTTTTCTTGGGAGTAAAAATTTTAAATAAAAGCAAACACATTAATAGGTACCTACACGGGCAAGGGGCTACATAGGTATAGTAAATAAAATATAATTATTTACCAACCTATATAATAAATAATAATGTGTAATTTAATCCACTTGGATTGTTTTATAATTCTGCACAATCTTCAAGTAAAGTATATGGTAGATTACAATGCATATATTTACTTAAATGTATTACATTTTAGGTGTTCAGATTGCGTTACTTGTTAAGGAGCAAAATAAACAATGCTACTTAGGTATAAGAAACATAAGATATTTCTAACCAACGACTAGTGTATTATCGCCGGACTAATTGACAGTATATTATGTGTTTTCTTTTTCTGTAAATATTATTTTAATGCCAAATACTAAATACAACGGTGAAATCTACAATATCTTAATATTGATAATATTTATATTACATGATTGAAAACACACGAACTATTAGCTACAAAAGTAATTTCTAGAATTAATATTATAGTAACTAACAAATTGTTATAATATTTGTATTTTAAATTAGTTGTAGTAACTACCTAATAATACAGTAATATTATTTAATACATCCTGGTGAGTGGTGTTACACGCCAAGTAGGAAATTATTTTAAAACTTAACGATAACATAGTATATACCTACCACGAATAATTTTAATGATAATTGAATACATTTATACAATTGTTTAGGTAGTATAAAAATGTGTTATTAGATAACAATCATTAGAATTGAACTCTAAAAATATAGCACACACGGTGGTCATGCGTGCTCACTTCTCGCATTATATAGGTAACTACGTCGTATGGTTTTACACAATCAGACGATAACAAAAAAGGATGAACAGACACAAACGGTGTACCTAATAGCAAGATATCTGTGCAAAATGTATAATTGTGTATTTGGCTTTCAAATTCAAATATTTAATATAAAATTAATTAATATAAATATATATATATATTAATATATTAATATATATTTAATATTTAGTATACGGTAATAATACCGTATACTAAATATGTAGGTACACACATAGTATGAGTACGAAAAAATAGAAACTATACCCCTTTTCAAACGAGAATATACCGCTTTCGCGCACGTCGAATGATTCGATTGGTGCTTCGAGAACCACGTGATCACGCTATCAATGGGAAATTGGTGGGGAATGCGCGCCGCCGGACATAAATTGGTCGTCGACCGGTATATTCTCTTTTTAAAAGGAGTATAGAAATATTTTATTTACTAAAAGTATCAAAAATAATTATGAGTAGAATCCAGATGAAAATTGATGAAAATTGAATCATATATATTTTCTGCGTAACCCGCATGATGTTAATGTATAAAACACTTTTCCAAACTAATGGTTACAAAAGAAATTACATTTAAAAAAAAAGGTGCTCTGCTGTACAGTAGGTTACAATTGGGTCACTGTATAATCGATGGTATTAAATTTGAATTCAATAATTTAATATCATGGTAAAAGAAAAACGATTCTGAGCGAAAACAGTCAGTCAGTCTACGATATTACGAAGTATATTTGATGATATTATTGTGAATAAAGTAATTTATATATTTATCTATATTTACGTAGACCCTTGTTTTAAATTTTCAATCCTTAGCTATAAAAGTTGAACATTTTATAAATTTTTATTTACAAAATAAATATTAAATTTAAAAATTATAAATTTTGTCAAATTTCGAACTTTAAATGGTTATAAAAAAAAATTGTGACTTAATATTTTTCAACTGCTATTGTTACAATATATCAGAAGCATTGCATTAAATTGTCATGCTTTTTTAACCAACAAATAAAAGTTTATTGATATTTATAATAGAAGAAAAAACTAAGAAAATTGAAAACTGACAATGTCCGTAAACAGCTCAAAAAGAGTCAAAATATTTTCAAATTTTTATGGTGTATGAAAAATGAAAATATAAACATTCAATAAAATTTTCATGTATCTACAGTTATTTTTTTTTGAATAACAAAACCGCTAAATGAGAAATCGACAAAATATCCAATATTTTAAAAATTATAAACTTCAAACGCCCATAAAAATTTAATTTGATTTGCTTGTAGACATTTTTTTTTTTTTGATAAAGGTAGACAAACTTATGGGTAATATAGTATTGCATTTTCAAATCTTAGATTTAAAAAGAAAAAATTTTTATGAATTCTCAACACAAAATAATTTGCTAATTTTCGTGATTTTTCCGTATTTTGTCAAGATTTGAACATTAAATACTTATAAAAAAAATTTTGACTAAGGATTTTTAATATATTTCAAATGTCAGTGTAACAATATAGTAAGAGCCTTGTATTAAATTTTCAAATATTTTTACCCAACAAATAAAGTTTTATTGTATCTAAGGTCATTTGTTTTAAAGTTCACCAAAAACCAAAATCAGATTTTTCAAAAACAGATTTTGCGTAAAAATTCCCATTTTTCCTTAATTTTTCTTTTGTTTTTCACAGTGCTTTTGAAAACTACTGGGAAATTTTTACTTTTGACCCCCCAAAGTACCAACTAGATTCACTTTTCTTTCAGAAAAGATACTGTTGATGAAAATCTAAGCTCTTTTACTGTCCTAAAAGGTGATGACAGACACAAAAAAAATTTTTAAAAAAAACACACATCATTGTAAAATCAATACATTCATCGTTTCACTCAGAATCTAAAACCGTTGAATTATTTTTAGTTATTATTTTTTCCCTCTTACAAGTATAATTAATTATTTCAATGTCAGTAGATCCAGAAATAGCGATATATTTATTAATACATTTTTATTTATTTATTTATTTATTTATTTATCTATTTATTATTTATTTTGATAAAGTTCTAAAATGTTGAATCCCTTCGGTTAAGCTTTTATTGGTTACCCACATAATTATTTATACAATACCGAAGGCATAACAATTAGTTCAATACCACTGAGTAAAGTTCAGTGCAAGTGTCCAACTGCACCGCATGTAAACCCTATTAATAATATAAAACCGTATGCCCATGGTCAGTGGTCACTGCGCATTATGCAAATATTAAAAAGACGATAACCAACGTTTTAATTTATAAGATATGTTATTAACGTAGATGAAAATTGCAAAAACTATATTATATCAAACTATGAAATCGAACTTTCAAATTAAATATAGTTTCTCATAGACATGACTAGTAATTACGTTGAAATAAATCCGTAAACTTTTAGTCTACAAATTATATTATTAAATAAAATTATCAATTACCACATCACCTTGACACCCTTAAAACGTTTAAAATTAATGTATCTCGATGAATAATATTTTCACCCGACAAAAAAGCGTACTCCCATTTTAATAATAAAATCATATGTTTTGTTTTGTTGCTTAGGTATTTGAAGGAATGAAGGCATATAAATCAGAACACGGTCACATGAATCTATTCAGACCGGAACTAAACTTACAAAGGTTAAACTCATCGGCTGAACGAGTAGGCCTACCACCGATAGACTCTGGTATATTACTCAGAGGTATTGAACGCTTGGTGTCTATCGACAACGAGTGGTTACCTGCGTCTGCGCCTCTCAGTTTATACATTAGACCTAACCTCATAGGCACAGAAGTAAGTACCTAATTAAATTATTAGGGAAATTAAAACTTTCCCGGCAAAAGCCAATCAAATTGTATAAATCCAATTGTATATAATTTCACAAACAGACCTAATTGGCAATTATTTATTGCTCTTAACGTTGTACTTGAATAGCGTTATTAATTCGTAGTTTGTACCTACTCCTTCCCGTTGATTTTTAAAAACCGGTGTTCCTGATACGAGCATTTTATGTGTCTATTTTCAATATATTAATTTATATAGAACAGTCTTATTTCTTAATAAAAATAAAAATTATAAGAAAATTAAAATAATTATTATAGTTACTTATAAAATATCGGAAACAAATGAATTATTTCTTCTGAATCATTGAACGGGGTCTTATCAGTTGTCACTATTCGCAACAAGGCTCTAACAACAATTTAAAACACTAACAAAAAGACTGCAAAAATATGATCATTTTTTAAAAAAAAACTTGTATTGTTCTATAAATTGTAATTATTATAGAAAAATATTATTTTAATTGCATATTTTAAGCCATACGTGAATAATGATTTTTTGATTAACTCATTAGAATTAGTTGGCGAAGTACATTTTTAAATTACCACCAATTTATTTTATTGAATGCCAATGAATCATCCATCCAGAGTATTTGATAGTTATAAAACGTATTTCATACATCTGATATAATGCATTTTTAGGGCACACTTGGAGTAGCACAAACAAATACAGCTCTACTCTACGTAATAATGTGCCCAGTGGGATCATATTTCTCTGAAAAATTCAAGTCTGTCCGACTGATGGCCGACCCCAAATTCGCCAGAGCTTGGCCAGGTGGCTGTGGTCACTTTAAAATAGGTGCAAACTACGCCACCACATTATACCCTCAGGTAAGTGCATGCTGACATACTCTTTAATTTCTTAATAAGGTAATAGTAAAAATAATACATTTTTTATAAAACAACTAGTACATACATTTACGAACTGTTATTGATTCTTACACAAAAAAATAAACTAAAAATAATTTATGAATATTTATGTTTATATTCGTATTAAATGTTTAATTTAATTTTTCAATATATTAGGTATTCAATGCTATTTGTATATGTTATTTTACGAGTGCAATAAATTTACTTATAATATAGTCTGAATAGTTTTTCTAAAAATATATATTTTGTGATTGAACTCATCACTAAATCATATGACTTTAAGAAAAATATTTTTTTTAACTAAATATTAAATCATAACTTTTCGGGGGACGGCAATGATAATTTTAACAAATTTCAATGAAAATGTCAAAGTTTAATAACATACTTATACAGTAGTTTAAAATAAATTAAATAAATCAAAATGTTAGAATTGAAATGTGAGTCTTCGGGTGTTCATTTTAAATGTTAAATTCGTTTTAAAGTTTAAACCCATGTTTTTATATTTATTCTGACAATTTATTTTTCAGTTTTATATTTTACTTTATAGAATGTGACTTTCTAAATTTGGAAAAGTTAGCATTAGAGTGCTGATGAGACCCTCCCCCCATGGACACTTTACAAATATAATATTTGTACTTACATATAATTATAATAATTTATTGGGAACAAATCTAGTTTTCGGAAACGTATGTACTACACTACTACAAGGAGTTAAGAACGATGTGGCCAAAATTATTAATTATCGGAAATCATTAATTTTTAAGTTATAGCCTTACAAAGTTCACGATTTCGGTTATGAATTGTGCATTTTACACAATCGTACAACGCAATATTTTACCGCGCGTTTGGAACGTCTCTGTTTTACTGAACAACCTTTTATTCAAATTTTTTGTCTTAACGTACCTATGTAGTTAAGCATGCTAAAAACGATGGGGAAGTCTGAATTTGGTGGTCAGACTTATTTTAAAGTTATAGCTAAATATAGCAATTGAAATGTTTGGTATTTTCATGCGTATATCCCTCGACTTGTTATGTAAAACCACCATGGGTGGGTGTCAGAATTATTTTTGCACCATACTTTTTAAAACATTGATTTACCTAGGTTTCAAAAAAAAAATTGAAAATTTGTTATAATCGTGGTAAACTATAGGCATTGTACGTGTGCGTAAAACACCGAAAACGTGAACCTATAGTCTATAAACTATAAAAATTAATGATTTCCGGCAATTAATTTTTACACCATCGTTCTTATAAATCTTAACTGGTTGTAATACATAGGTGTAAGAAAAAAAATCGCTACTAAACTAGATTTATAACGCTAAGTTTAACAAATATTTTGTTTTAAAAAAAAATATCAAACCAACTTCCCCTCCTCCCACTTATTCAAAATTCTTGGGCACGCCTCTGAAGGTTAGGTATTATATTTTATGAAGTACGATGTAGCCATGTAAGTATATCGTATATACTCACGAATTTATTGGTATTCAAAATTAATATTTTACATTAAGTATAGGGAGGTATATAAACTAATTATTGTATTGTATTTCATAATTAATATAAATACACAACCATAAACTATACACTATTTAACTATTACAATAAACTTTAATCATATTGGATATAATAATGAATAATGATTGAACGTTTTATCACTTATCACTTATACTTCATACTTATTTGAATACCTACGGTTAAAACATTAAACATATTTTAATTAGCTCACATGATACTGATAAATAAAAAAATACACACATCTTGGATGTAGAATATAGTTGATAGAAGATAACAAATTATTTTATATTGACGCATTACCAGACTATCATTTAAAAATTAATTTATGAATGATGAAATAATATTTATATAACTATTATCATATTTTCATCAGTTTTAGTAGATAATACCAAACTAACGAGTACGTATATCTATTTCATAAAAAAATTATACTAAAAAATCTATCGTTTAAAATCTGTTACTGTTCTAATGTTGTTTATTGAAAGGCAATAACTATAACATAGGTACCTATGCTAAACAATCATGTTAGAAGCGTTAGGTACCAGTTACCACACATCAAAACTTTAAATCTCATAACATACGCGGTTTCTAATTTTATAATGTTGAAATAACCATAAATTAATTCGAAACACCCATCAAAGTAACTACACTCACGGTTATAAAAAAAGTTTAAACTATATTATAATGTACATAATTATTAATATATAATATTATAACGTACAAACACGTAACTATTTCAGAAACCTATGATATTATACACTCTGTTTTATTTCATAAGTACCTGCCTACATTTGGTTTGGAAAGATAAACATTACGGTGAATTAAATTGAAATAATTAGACAGAATAGTATTTTAAGTACATACCTATACCAGCTATATACAATAATAAGTATATTATTATTTATTAAATCATCGTCAACATTACACCAATAAATAATGATACATAATAAATTGAAAATAAATGTTCCATTTAGGTACAACAAACAGACATGATGCAGCCCCAAAAGGAAACTTGATAGTACCTAGGTGTACAGCGTGATTTACAGTTATAATACCCTATGGTTAAAATATTAATAACTGGTCGCTTTCAAATATGTACATGGTGATACACATGTTTGTGGGTTGTGGCTAATTAGTTATCATACTATAAGTATGGGACCTTAGATATATATGTGATGATCTAAAGCAGTCGTTTCTCAACTTATGGTACGGCTACCACTAGTGATACGTAGGAAAGCTCTAGGGGGTAGGAGAAACCTGGGGTAGATAGGACACGTAACTTTAATGTATTTAAGTGGGTTAATATTTATTTATGAAAAAACAAAGATCCTTTATTACTACACTTCTAATCAGTTTTGTTATATTGTTATTAATTATACATATATTTTTACTAAACATAAAAATTAATTTTTGTCCCATCATATGGGACCCATCATACATTTAATTTTATTTGTATGCATTAAAAGCTCATATTATTATGACTTTGTAGTTCCTGATAAAATTAAATTTCATAGATGTAAAATAACGTACCAATACATTTTTGATAAACAAAAAAATCCTTATTTGGTCCAAGTGGTATATAACAATTTTCAAACCGTGTAAGTGGTGCGCGAATATAAAAAGGTTGAGAACCGTTGATCTAAAGTAAGGATGTCCGTTTTCTCGCTCATAAATTATCAATTATTTATACCTATATAGCATAATATGCATTTATAAGAACTTAAGCCTTAGCATTTTTATATGTCCAGCAAAAACCAATATAGGTATGCATATTTTATATTCTAATCTTTTGATTGCAGGAAATAGCTTCAAAATTAGGTTGTCACCAAATGCTGTGGTTATATGGTGAAGACCGACAAATCACAGAAGTTGGTGCGATGAACGTGTTTATTTTTTACGAAAATCAAAATGGAGGTAATTTAACCAAAAATACATTCTATACTATGGATCCAACCGTATTAACTATTTACTGTGTACTTTTTTTGGACATATTGTGAAAAGTATTATTTATTAACGAAAATATAATATTATGTTTTTTATATGTAACTTTCAGAAAAAGTATTAGCCACACCAGCATTAAACGGTATGATATTGCCAGGCATCACCAGGCAGTCAATATTGGAGTTGACTAGAGATTGGGACGAATTTCGTGTTGAAGAGAGAATCTTCACAATGGATGAATTAGTTGAACTCAATAAGAATAACAAAGTAAACGAATATATTAACTAATAAATTAGTGTATCTAAAATTATACTATTTTGCACATAACTGCTTTTCTATATGTCACCAAATTGTTCTCACGTATATTAAATAAAACTAGGAGGGTAGGTATTTAAAAAACGGATAAAATTAAGTTTACTCAATATTTGTTGTAAACAATTTTTAAGTGGTTGGACGATACGATCATGTTTCATGAATCAGGATTAAGGTCGGCCTTAGGTTTTTCCCACCTATCCCACCTTTTTCCACGGCAAATAGAATGTACCCTGACCTTATTGGAAAGTTTGTTTATGAGAAGAAAGGGAGTTCTTCAAAATTTCCAGTCCCTAAACTGGGGCCCTAGGCGGCTGACTATATTGCCAAGACTGTCGACATAGTCATAAATATTTTACAATATTATGCAAAAGAAAATGTGTCGTTATAAGTGTACCTATACATAATATACTCAATTCTGTCAATGTCCATTTTTTGAAATTTTTTTAGACATATTTTGATATTTTAAGGCATTTTACGGTTTTTTTTTTTTAAATATTATGACTTAAAAAAAGTAACTTCTTAACGTGCTAACAAGGCTTTTACCTAATCAAACATTATATATTATTTTTTAATAGTAATTTTTCGAATGGATCCTCCTTACGATGTGAAAATTGAGATAACCAGTGTCGACGGAAAGTCAAATGAGAATTTTTCAGATTAAAAGTCCACATAAAAGACTTGAAATTGTACAGTCCTATTAAAATTTTTTTTTTAATTTAATAAACAATATTTTTTGATTAAAAACTATTGTTTAAAATAAAATAATTAAGAGCATTTTATATAAGTCCATTATTTTGATCATTTAGGGCATTTCTCAAGTTTTTAGGGCATTACATTCCCCGTCTCATACCTACTTATAACGAATTATAATTTAAATACTTACTTGACTGCATACCTATTGTCCTTTAATTCATGGTGTTAGAAAATTCGAGCCACGTAGGTACCTACCTATTTAACATAATTATTTTTATTATAACGTTATTACCAACTGAGTATTTATGTAATTGAATAGAGACATTCTCATACCCACTATAAATGTAAACGAAAGTATAAAAGTATTATTATTTCACCTTAAACTTTTTCGAATATTTCAGATACTTGAGTTTTTTGGAACCGGTACAGCAGCAGTCATTAGCCCGGTGTCTTCCATATTATACGAAGACAGAAACATAGAGTTACCAACAATGGAACAATCGAATCCGTTGTACGCAAGGCTCTTTAAAACTATTACTGACATACATTACGGCCGGGTAGCGCATCCTTGGACCAGAGTAGTGGACGAAAGACCACATTTGTACGAATCTCAGAACTATAAATATGCCAACTAGGATCAATAATATCAATAGATCGCACGACACGTCTTGATAGCGGTCAATAGATAGTACAACAAACGACAATAATTCATAAACCGTTTATTATTATAATGAGTGGCTACAACTAACTACCAACAATATTCCGAACGTTTAAAGACAAAAAATAATATTAATAATGAGATACATGAATTTACTTTAATACTCGAGTCTGCAAAGTAAAAATTAGCAGAGCACCAAAATTGTATTAATTTCATTGTAGAATGTGTCATTTCGTTCTTGATGAACATATTATTTTCTCAGCCAGTCTACATAATCTACATTTAAAAATAATAATATATAATGGTTTGTTTTTTTATGACGAACAATTATTTCTTTTACAATTTCAAAACCTTTATGATAATACAAATTACAATAGGTATTGAATTTGGTCACAAATAATTAAAACTATTAATTGGAGGAAATAGAAAAGGTTTAGAAAATAAAAAACCATTCAAAATAAATTATTCCACATCACACAAATTATCATAGGTACTATATAATATATTGACCGCTATCTATATTCTATTGACGGTATAACTGTTAACTAATGTGAAGTTCATTGATTTTGTTCTTGAAAAATTATATTTTTATATTTTTAATTTAAGTTATTCATCAAGAATAACTAACTATTAAACCATTAGGTACCTGCAACAATCAACTATTTTTTCTAAGTCACCACTTTATAAAAATTTTTTATCTCAATAAAAATGATAATTATCATACACATAATACGTACCTACGTTTTGATTTATTAACATCGGTAAACTAGCAAACAAAGCTATGTTATGAAGGTACCTAGTTCAAATTAATTGATCAAATGTCTTCAAGCTGCAGTGTTTCACTCAGTAGCGTAGCTACGTTGTGGTTGGTCAGTTTAACCTACCCACCAATAACAAAAAAAAAATTAAGATTAAAAAATAATATAAATAGTGGTATGATAGTTTCGGTAGTGATGTCGTACGCGATCTACCGGTTATTCCGAGAGAGATAATTTATGATTTATATTTGTAAGTATATATGACTTCCCTTTTATGGTTCAATCAAAATATTAAAAAACCATAATATAAAGTGGGCAGTATTCACAGTTAGCGGCACTTGTCGCTGCGCTCCTCGACAAGTTAACCGATCATAGAAGTATAAAACTATCGAAAATCTAGATATTATCTGTTATTTAAAATATAGGTGGGTAAGTATATATTTTCAAATATTTATGAAATAAACAATTTATTTACAAATTAACTGTGAATTTAATAACCCCCCAAAGAAAAAACCGTATCTACGCCATTGGTTAAGGAAGTAAATTTTATTTTTAAGTGGGTAAAAGTAGTTGTCGCCATGCTGTACAGTAGGTTACAAGTGGTTTACTGTGATGGACATAGGCGTAGAATTATGGGGGCTAAGAGGACTATAGCCCCCCCCCCCAGAATTCTATTAAGCCCCCCGGAAATCTGTTTAACCCCCTATGTAAAAGTTAACTGTTTTATACATCCATATAGATATAATGTGAGAACTAAAAATTTTTCTATTATTATAGCGAATAAAAACATGGCTTAAAAATTATATGACTAACGATAGATTTGAAAATCTATCGTTACTTCATATTAAAAGGGACTAAGCTAATATTATTAATTCTGAAGATATCCTTAATATATATGCCCAAAAAAGTATAGGCGTTTAAACCTTATACTATAATAATAACTTCCTATTTAAAATATTTTTTTTTTATATATTTAATTCAAATACAAAATAATAAATGTATTTGATAATAATAGGTATGATATATGGTAGTACATTATTTATTTATATTTTACTTTAAAATGGGCTTCTTCAGTCATTTTTATATTTTTTTCTTTTACATTTTTCTATAGTTATATTTGTAGGATATTATGTTCTGTATCTGAATCATTAGAGCCCATTTGCGAAGTAATTCGTAAAAAGTTCCGACATACCACAAAAAAAGAGGCTATAACTTTTAACTCCTCCAAAAAAACTCATCACGCTAGTACGCTACGCCTATGGAAATGGATGGTATTAAATTTGAATTCAATGATATCATATCAAACGATTGAGAGCGGAGACGGCTTATATAAATCTAGGATATTTTATATTATATTTACATTGCTATTACTTATTATTAAATCGGTAGCCGGTAAGTTGAATTGATATTATCTATACAATTACAAAAATAAAACTATAATCGTTATTCTTGGTTATTTAATATGTAATTTCATTCAATTTTGAATAAATATGTGGAATGTTGTTTTAAATTTTCAATCCTATTAGCTATAAAAGTTGAACATTTTATACATTTTTAAATACAAAATAGTTTTTAAATTTTAAATTTGATAAATTCTGTCAAAATTTAAAATTTAAAACTTTAAAAAAACTCGTACCTATGTATTCTTAATATTTTTCAACTGCTATTGTAAAACTATATCAGGATCCTGATATAGGTATTATAGAAAATTTCTATAATATAAACATTCTGTGAAAATTGCATGTAAGGTAATTTGCTTTAGAGTTGCACCAAAATCCAAAATCGATTTTGTCAAAAACCGATTTTGCGTAAAAATTCCCGGTTTTCCTTAATTTTTTTCTGTTTTTCCCGACGTTTTTTAAACTACTGGGAATTTTAAATTTTAATTTCCCATAATGCACCAACTAGATTCACTTTCCCATCGAACAAGATATTGAAGTTGAAAATCGAAGCATTATTTCGACTAGATACTGATCGTGTACACAGACACAAAAAATAAATAAAAATAATAAAACACACATATATCAATACATTCATCGCTCCACTTAAAATCTAAAATTGGTATGAACTAGCATTTTCTATAGGATGATATTTGAAGCGTTTCTATGAGATCTTCTTTAAATTATTAAAGAAAATAATATTTAATCTATTTTTGTTATTCAAATATACTTACCTACAACAAAATGCAATGTACTTATGTTTGTAGCTGATGTCTGCCGATTTGGACGAAAGTTTCTGAGGTTGTTCTCAAAAATATCAGGAAGCTTAAAGAGTTTTAAAGAAAATATACCAAATGTTAGGTACTAGGTAGGTTACCTATATAGTATATAATCCGCCATAGGTCTTTGTTGAATTAGTTTACTATCGGCTAAGTACACCAATGCCGATTTGTCCGTAAACTGAGGTACTTACTTACCCTAAAATAAAATACACTAACATAGGTAGCGCAATATTTTATTTTTGCTATTTTTTTTCCGGGCTAATTCGAGATTTCGAGATATGCTGCTATTCTGGCATGAAACTAAACGCAATGATTAATCATCGTATTTGAAAAAAAACATGGTTCCTGAAAGGAGTTTAGTTAATTGTAAATTGTGATGTGTAGCCGTTTAGGTAGGTATATAATACAAATATAGTATAGTATAGTCTCAAAAGATGTTTTGAAATGTTTAATTTCTCATAAAAGAATGAATGAGGAAAATATAAATTTAGGAACCTAAATTATTGTAAATATTATGTTAAAACTTCAAACTTAATCGAGAAGCGTAGGTATTCACGCAAAATAATATGTTTATTTCTAATGATTTATGTTTTTGAGTACCTACCTAATCTTAGAATTGAATCTCCCATCACAATAATAAAAGCAATTTTATTTTTGAGGGTATGACATACCTATTGGACTTATCTAAATATTATCTGAAAATAATTTAATAGGTAGGTAATTTGTATTTTAATTTTAAAGCCGAATATAAAGTAAAATAATAAAATAAAAAAACAATAAGTCAGTCAAACACTCAAAAATATTATTCTCTGTAATAGTTGTACCTAATTGATGATTGACACCTACGGGCTACAGGTGCCCAAATCAAAAATTCTGCCAAAACAAACACACACGTGTTCCACCCCCTACCAACAAAAACAAAAAAATGGCCTTGCTAATGGCCTAAGTTGCTAGGCTCAATAAAAAAAATAAATAAAAAATAATTGATGATACTCAAAAATCATAAATTACTATTATACCTACGAGAATGTGTTCTCTTTATTTAGTGTGAGTCTGAGAAAAAAAATAAATATTGTGCTGACATCCTTAAATACAATTGAATTTTATCTATAGGTACTATAGGTAGCTTATAAGTTATAATTATTAAAAACCTATAGTATTTACTATGAAGAATTATTTATATACCTGTTTTTATACCATATATCGTATTATATATCGATTGTACAGTATCCCTTGAAAACCGTTCATGGTGGGCGAAGTGTGAAAAATATCAGCCCCATATAGAAATATTAATTCCGCCTAAATGAACTTAATTAAGTTACCTACTTAACCAAAGTAAATAACGGTAACTTAGTTCAGTTCATTTAATCGAGCAATTTTTCCAACCAGCTTTGATATAGGTAATATAGTTTTTAAAGATATACTTGAGAGTTGTGACTTGCCTACTACTGCGTAGAAATTGAAAAAGAAAACGGGAAAAAATTAAAAGTGCAACAAAACTAATATTAAATTGATATAATAATTGACCTAATCTTTATTAGTCATCAACCATCATATTCATTTTAATAAAAGTATCATTGATAACATGGCTGCAAAAAGCAAGGTCGAATATTAAAGAGTTAAAAGTACTTCAAATTTTAATTCGAAACCTATATCAATCGTTTTTACCTGATTGTACCTCAACGGTTTTCAAACTATCCCTTCTTTGATGTTGGGGGTGCCAATAGGAAACGCTGGTACCCCCCCCTTAAAATGTCTAATTTACATATTGATATGGCACATACCAATCGTTTGTACGATTTTAAATTATTCCAAACCTGTGTGTACATGGTCATGAAGTTGTACCCCCCACATTCATAAACATTTTCCAAATCAGAGCAAATATTTAACAAATTAAAGGAGCAAAACACACAAAAAAATAAGTTTTTTTTAATTTGAAAGAATGATAAATTCTAAGAATAATGGTATAAGACAGAGGTTCCCAAACTGTGGGTCGCGATTATATTTTTAGTGGGTCGTGGAACATTTTTAAATGATACATTTTTTAGACACGTGTTTCTATTACTTTTCGTTACCTAAATTTAGTTATATCATAAATCGCTATCTGCGTTTGTAACAGTTACAAATTTACTGCGACCATATCAACACGAAGCAATTAGATTAATAATTATTGAAAATATAACAATTTATTTGAAACAAATAAGTACCTGAATGACGTTCAAATCAATTATTTTCAGTAAAACTATCTTTTTTTATGTTTTATTCGTTCAGCACAAAAAAAAAAGATTATTGAGGGGCGCCAAAATTTTAATACTTTCCAAAATGGGTCGTACCATAAGAAGTTTGGGAACCTCTGGTATAAGACATAGCGGTTATACGCTTCTACTCGCATTATTCAATAAGTTATGAGTTTTCTTTTTTTTTTTTGATTCATGTGTTTTTTATTCAATCTGTTACAGTAAGAACAATAAGAACAATTGATGTTTAGTAAAAGAATAAAAATAAAAATAAAATAAAAAGACAGACCAGACGGAGTGCAGAGGCCTCCCGGCGGAGGTACTACGACATAAGTATGATTTTAATTAGGCTAGCAGGTCACGACACCACTGTCTTTTAAGTCTTTTAATAAAATTGAGTTACCTGGGATGGAAGCAGATGGTAGATCGGAGATTAAGGGATTCTTATGGTTGGCTAGGCGGCTATTGATTAAAACGTTTGTAGTGAGTTTTAGCTAGTTCAGAGACAAATGGTATTTTGAGATCAGAGTGGAGGGTGTGGTTAGAGACATAGAATGGTACTTTTAGAATTGTACGTAGAGTTTTGGATTGGAATCTTTGAATGCGGTTGATGTTGGTTAGGAGTAATTGAAAAAAAACCGCATGACATCATGAAGCCCGGCATATTAATTGCCTATCTTAAGGCGCGTCCAGACGGAGCGGCTTTTATTTCCCGATTATCTTCCAGTAGACAATAATTTGGACTAAATCAGTTAGTGCCAAAAATCAAAATGTCATCGGAGGAGGATGTCGGTTGTGCGCTTGAGTTGTTGTATGCGTACAAAAATCATACAAAAGCGCGGAAAAAAATGGTGGGTTCGCCCAAGTTTGCAGAGCAGAAAAGTTGCAAATGGATCAAAATTATTAAACGAATTAAGAGAAGATGATGAATTAAATTTTGAATTACGAGGTTCATTTCATAATTTTTTAAGAATGTCAAGTTCAGATTTTGAATACATATTGTGCAAAATAGAGCCAATAATAAAAAAAAATCTGATACTTTTATGAGGCAAGCTATACCAGTGCAAGAAAGGCTCGCAATTACGCTAAGATTTTTAGCTACCGGTGACTCATATATGAGCTTATCATATTTATTTAAAATATCTAAACAGTCAATTTCAGAAATTGTTCCCGAAGTTTGTACTGCTATCATTGATGTACTGAAAGAATTTAATAAAGTAAGTCAAATATATTATTAATTATATTTTATAAATAATCAGATACTAAACAAGAGCAAACTCAGTGTACACGTACTATAGGCTATATAGCTACCAATTACCATGAAAACCTGATCTAAATTTATCTTATATTTTATTATTGTCTAAATACCAATTTTAAAAGGTAAACTTTAACCATAACTACAAGTTATGTCTATTATGAGCTATGAGCGTTGAATAATATACATTTTAGATTCTGATATATTGGTTTTAAAACGGTGTGTTTTTTTTTATTTGTGTCTCATTACTTTTTAAGAGAGCTTAGATTTTCTTTAACAGCAATCATTTCTGATAGAAAAGTGAATATAGTTGGTACTTTGGGGGGACAGAAGTAAGAAATTCCCAGTAGTTTTCAAAAGCACCAGGAAAAATGAAAAAAAAAATTAATGAAAAATAGAAACTTTTAAATTAATTTGTAGTTAATAATTTTTAAAATATTCATCTCTTATAGCTATAAGGATTAAAAATGTAAAACAAGGTTCCAAGTGAGTAGGTTCTATAACCAAAAAATATAAAAAATATAAACAATTTTTTGTTTAGTTATTTTATGTTCAAATTTTGACGAGATTATACATTAAATAACCAAGATTTAGTCCGTCGGTAAAGTTGATCATAGTAGTTATGTTATTCACATATCCATATATATTATGAAAATGAATGTTTGTCTGTCTGTGTGTCCTTTATGCGTTCCTAAACGACTGGACCGATGTTGATGAAATTTGGTACAGAGATAGATTAGATGGGCAGAAGATAGGCTAATTTATGAAGGGGGAGGACCAACCCCGGAAGGTGCTTAAACAGGGATTTTTGTTTATAAATGGTCGCTATGGGTTTTAAAGCTGCTATTTTAATAATAATATATTATTCATAATTACTATAGAGTTGCGTCACTTTTAATGGGCAACGAAGTGTACGAGATCAGCTAGTAATCTATATTTTTGAATCTCAAAAAACATGAAATTAAAGATTTTTGAAAAATCATTATTGACCTTTGTATTTTTAAAAACAGAAAATCTTCAGTATTGACATTTTGATAAAATAAAAATTGTATCCACTGGAGATTACAACAGAAATCAGTTTTACCTCAGTGAAAATGAAAAAAGTTTGTTCTGCTACTAATTACTTAAAAAATAAGTACTGATGTCGAGCGGCTTTGCCGAAAATACGTCCACACACACGCGGCATAGGCGAGCGGCACAAGCCGCGCGGCTTTCCTTTGATGTAGACCGCCTACTACGCCGATCGGAAATTATGCCACGCGGCATCAAAAAAAGCCGTGGAAAATGTATTTATGTATTCACACTCATGCCGCGCGGCAAAAGCTGCTCCGTCTGGACTCGCCTTTAAACGTGTAAAAGTTCCATGCTTCACACAACGATTCACTAACCTAAACATTTTATCTACACATAAATGTGTGTTCAAAACGAAACAAGTATCAGTATAAAGCTTAATTTTTTAAATATTAGAAATCTTAAGAGATATTTTTGAATTTTTATTTTATACTTAAATGGCGATGACGCGCCGTTTAACAAAAATTAAAAATATCACTTAAAAGTTTTATTAATATTTAAAAAACTAAACGTTATATTGAAATTCTGATACTTTTATCATCTTTACCAGATACAATTAAACATTTTTAAGTAAACTAAATTTCAAAAATAATAATTTTAGATAGGTAAATCGTTGTATAAAGCGAAGAACTTTTACAAGTATAAAATAGGCAATTACGATGAGCCGGTTTTTTTCAAAAAATGAATTTCATAATCACATTAGGTTAAATTTTTTCCCAATTTAAACCCCAATATAATATATTTTATTTCGTACAAATTTTGATTTTTACAGAAATAAAAATCGTTATTAGAAACAGGTAGGTATTATAAGTATTTTGTATATTGCATAGTAAATAGTAAATACTTACCAAATTGCCTAAGTCTGCCGAAATTCCTCTAGCACTATTCCTGGCTTTTAGTAGGGATAAAAATACGTACAACTATACAGGGTGATATTTTTATCATTGAACACTCATTATTTCAAAAAGTATTAATGTTTAAGAAAATATTTTTTACATAGTTTCAAGTTGTTAAAAAACAATATTTTTATTAAAAATTATATTTTTAAAAATTTTTTATCCTTTTAATTTTTTAAGTTTTTTACTTTTTTGAATGACAACATGTAATTTTAATTTGATATTCAAAAACAGAATATTTTTCTGAGTATTTCGATACATAAAAATTGAATTTAGGGCAATTAGTTTATGAGTTATAAGTATTTAAAGTTTAGATGAGTGGAGTAGAGTGGTACGGGGTTACCCCGCGAAATGTTTGTCCACTACTCCGCTCATCTAAACTTTAAATACTTATAACTCAAATATCACATCGAACATATTAATTACAAATCTCACAACAATAACAGTATAATACCAGAAAACCCAGTTCTATGTTTAATGAGTCATTGATGATACTTATCTTCAAAATTAACCTAAATAATAATTTAGGAATAACATCAGTTAGATAAGATTTTATCAGTGGATGACCCCAATCGGCAATCTGATATTTTTCTGTCAATTACACGCTCTCGTTATATTTTTACTATATATTTCTGTTTATGTGTATATTGCATGCTTAAACTTTTATGGAATTATTGTATTGTACTTTGATGTTGATAAATTGCAAATATTCAGTTTATAAAAAAATTTGATTTTTAACTAAGTTAAGATATCTTTTTGGATTGAACTTGTAACTCTACAAAAACCGAGTTAAAAATAAAGAAAATTAACTTTAAGCTTTTAACTCAACTTTTACACTTCCTTACAATAAATTAATTTAATAAGTTTAAATAATTAGTTAACTTCCCCGGCCTTGCCAAAAAACATATAATTTTTGTGAAGTGTTATATCCTACATTCGTACCTACAAAGTTCAAACTAGGTGACTATATACTATATAGTATATGTATAGTATGCATCAGTAATTAACTCGGATTTATCAATCTCTCTTGGAAAATACAGGAACATGTAGAATTTATTTTTGATCTTAATTGGACATAAGTGTTCTAAGACCTCAAAACGTATAAATAATAAATATTATCCTGGATAGTAGATACATAATATATTATAATACTATATGATATCAAATATAAATAAAGCATGCGTTATTAGTGGTATCAACAATCAATGATTATAATTATTTTCATGTCAGTTTATAGCCGCAATAATTAATAACATGTACCAATGGATGTCTTTTTTATTATATTTAATTATTATATAGGTAATTTGAAACGTTTTTTCCGTGGTAGGAAACTTAACATGACAAAGTGTGGGTAGGAAAGTAATTTATTTTATACTCTAGTCCAGTGGTGCACAACCTGGTGGTCGCAATTAGTGAATGAGTGGTATTTGGATTTGATATATATAGATTATATTGACTGTATTATTTTAGATTTTGTGAAATAAATATTCAATATTTTTTATCATAACCCAATCTAAATTAATTAGGCAAATTAGGCTAGATTTATCCAATGATAATATTAAATAGTTTGTTAAAAACGAATGTGCTGTAAATGTGTAATCACAATCATTAAAATAATAAAAACTTACTGATTTATAAAATCTGTATTCAATAGTATATTTTATTAAGAACTAGCTTATCCCGTGAACTTTGTTGGCCGGCAACCAATTATTATGATTATAGATTTAAAACCCATGGCAACCATTTATAAACAAAAATTTCTATCAGAAATCTCAAAATCCCTGTTTGAACACCTCCCGAGATTGGTCTTCTCCCTTTTTAAATTAGCCTATCTTTTGCAATCTATATATATAAAAATGAATGTATGTCAGTGTGTCTGTGTGTCCATGTTACCATGGTTACCAAGGTTGCCATGGTTACTAAGGTTACCAAGATTTCATATCAATCTATATATATAAAAATGAATGTATGTCAGTGTGTGTGTGTGTGTGTCCATATTACCATGGCAACCATATCTGTATATAAAAAACAGTAAGCTGATTGACTGCTATCAACGCACAGCTCAAACCATTGGACGGATCTGGCTGAAATTTGGCATACAGATAGCTATTATAATATAGACGTGCACTAAGAAAGGATTTGCCAAAATTCGCATTTTAAATAGGTGCTGAAACAGGGACATTGAGATTCACGATAGAAATTGGAAATTTTATTTTTATTTATTTATAGTTGCCATTGGTTACAGTCTACATTAGAAATTAGCATTTATTTATTGGTTGCCATTGGTTATTCGGGCAGATCAGGTACAAGCTTGCATCAAATCGAATTATTGAACAATGCTTACCAGGGTGGCAGAGTTGCACTTACCGCAGAAAATTACACCCAAAAGGAGTTCAACAATCAATAATTTTTTTAAAGAGTTGCGATTTTTACGAGCAACCAAATTTTATTATATATAATCCACAGTATATACATCAAAATAAACTTGGTATAAACTTTGAATACTTTAGAGTTAAATCATACACTACCGTACAAACAGCACGGGTCCGCAGATCTACCGCAGGTAGAGTGCCTACCTGATATGTACCTGGCTGCGATTCAAAATTTTTATTCAGGGCAACGGAAAGATAAGAATAAATTTGAACACCATACACGTTAATGAATTGAACAAAGGTTGAGTAGGTAGTATTGAGTTGATCCATTTAACGGGCGACGAAGTGCACGGGATCAGCTAGTATTTTATATATTTAGTTGATTAGAACTCTTATATGAATAATATGTTTTACATATTACCATGGCAACCATTTATTTACAAAACATTCTAT